GTATTGTAGAACAGTTTCTTTCTAGTCAAACTTTTTTTCCGAAATGTGAAATTTGCTAAATCTTTAGCAAATTTGTTGTGTCGTGTTGGTCGCAGTGGCTGGAAGGTTGAGGCTCCCACTTCATTACCAATGTGACTTTTACTGAGTACATATATGTACTTTCGCGTTTGTCAGCTGTGTCCAAATTAACTAATTTGGACACAGCTGACAAACAAAGTGAGGAAACCTGTAACCTGTGATACAGTAATAATTATAATAAAACAGACAAGACAATTCACAATAATAGGCCAGATATAACCATGATAGATAAACAGAAAAACACACATACATTATATAGAAATAGCAGTTCACAACACACATAACTTAACTTAACTTAACTTAACACACACTAACAATCACCGAAAACATACACAAATATACAGATTTAAAAGAGGAAATAATTAGAATTTGGAAGATGGACAGAGTATATATTGTACCACTGGTGCTCTCCAGCACCGGCATTATACCTAAACACTTACACCATCACTTACAGCAAATAGAGTTGTCCACGAACACACATTACAATGCAGAAAGCCACTATACTAAACACGTACAGAATAGTTCGGAAATTCGTTTCGGAAGTTCGTACAGGAAGATGCGTCTATCGAAACGAATCCCTTAAATGAAATTCACTTGGCTTTAGCCCATAGTTTCATTTAAATTTCTGACATTCTTATAATGTCGAGAAAAACGCAAGTTTTACTCTAAATAATTATAATAAGCTAGCAGGGCACCTTGAGGCGAGGTGACATCCCGATTGCACCAGGGAGGAGACACCGTTCCTCATCTCCGGCTTGCCTTTATTGCCTGGCTGGAGTGAACGATGACGAGGATTAGGTCTCCCGCCTTTGGCCTGCTCGGAGGGTGGAAGTTTTTCGTAAGCGGCGAGTGGGCCAGTGATGCAGGATGCTTAGGCAGATGTAGATGATCTGCCAGCCACTCACATTTCCGTTGTCCCTCTGTTGCTATTACTAGCAACCATTCCCGGGGCCCCGGTGAGTTGGCGAGTCTCCCATCTGCCATTTTTACATGTATACCTACATTGCATTGTTTCGGCAGGTGCCATAGTTCCCATCATACCAGTCCATAGCCTTATCCCTTGTGTCCATTATTCGCAATAGTCCTACACTAACCGGAGACTGTCCTTGGGTGCATTTCCATAGTGCATACAGGGATAGTCGCCGGTTAGTGTCCCATTTCATTTAGATTAAAGTTGTCTACAGGGCCTCTGCGCAGTTGACTCCGGCCCCTTGTATGCCTTCCAAATGACCCTGTGGTCCCATGATTGGTAAAGACATACATAATGATAACAAATGTTGAAAAACAACTTAGATTCTCTGTAAAGTTTAAACTATAATATAATGTAATAACTTGAGAATTCCGAGTTCGATGACAACTTAATAAGGTGCTAATTGTCAAACATAATAGTCCTTCAAAGGATAACGATTTGTATTAAACAATACAACACAATGATGTAAAGATAATGATGAATTTGTTGACTTAACAACACACACAAGAACCTAATCGTAAATTAATTATTATCAATGGGAAAATATTTATGAAGGAATTATGTTGTAATTGTTTTTGGAACAATATCGTACTATGGAATACACATTGTTGTACTTACTACAAAATTACCTATGGAGTTACCTTTTTGAAGGTATCTACAGTCCCGGCGTAAGGTCCATGAAGGAGTCACTCCTCGCCCATAAACCCTCAAAAAATTCATCTAAAAAAAACTGCAATAAATTATATGCACATGCACAGAGCGTAGAGCACAGTTCTAAAGGTTTGCACCAGGAGAGGCAAGAGACTCTAACTTCAGACCTTGACGACCGCCAGAATTTGTCACCCTGGACCATCGTTACATAAAAAAAAACAACTTATCAATGATAAACCCTGAACACCAAGTAATGCAGCTCCATTTTATCTGCTAAATTAAAACAAAACTAGTGTTATATAGATATGTGAATTAAGTTAAATAGAAAAATAACCAGTCTTGATATGAGTATCTAACAATGTCCACAGACACTGTTGCGTCATTTAAGTCTTAATTATAATGTTTTAGCGTTATTATGATCTTTATCTTATAAAATCTTTGTGATGTTGCTACCTAAGTCAATTAGTAGAATTTATTTGAAGCCTAAGTGCCACACACTTCTCTTCAACTTGTTTTTGTCAATAGTATTTTTTTTATGCACTGTTTGTATCTCTATCTCCGAAAACTTAGAAAGAGGTGCACACAATTGCACACAATACCACATACATACACAATGTACACTCACATTATTATGGGGTGGACCTCATTGCCATAAAACGGGTGCAAATCCAGACTCTGTACGACTAGGGCAAAAATTTCAAAATACGTAACTTACTGCGAAAATACCAGTAATCTTTAGCATGACTCGGAGTCCAAACCGAGACTCCTCGTTCGGCAGTTACACTTGGGCACCAACTAAGCAGATACTTTCATCCATTCAGAGCAGTTAGCGCCGCACAAACACATTAATGACACATCATTATTAAATTAGTAGCTCAAGACCCATTTTTATGGAATGGGAGGCAAACGGGCAGACAGATCACCTGATGGTAAGCGATCGGCGCCGCCCATGGACACCTGCAACACCAGAGGAGGCAATGTGCGTTGCCGGCATTTTAAAAAGGAGCTACCTACGCTTGTTTCATGAAGGTTAGAATTAAGAACTATTAGAACTAAACAATTACTTAAATATTTATCTAACATATTTTTAAATAAAAAATAGCCTTTACGTAGCTAATTTGTTAGGATTGTAATTTATTATAATGCGTAGTATGTAGGTACTTACATACAGATTTTCAAATTTTCAAAAACACAAATTCAGCTGAAAAGTTTGGAAGCGCAGCGTAAATGAGCGAAATGTCTTGGGCGGGCCGTTCGTGCTTAAACTTTTATATGCAACGACTGCTATGTGCACAACAAAACATTTATATATAACAACATATACCTAATTATATATAGGTACTTTTATATAAATGGGGTGGACAATATATTTCCTTAGTTTACGCTTGAAGTTCAGTGACACAACCGGCTTTCGTGAAACCTTGTGTTGATGTAAAAACATTTTTATTATTTAATTTTTTATAGTGTTTTAGACCAGTGTGCAGTTTTGTTCGGTGAGGGAGATTCTTTGTTAATTGTGTTTATTTATTTTATTGAGATAAACCATTTGGATTTGAAACCTATGTATGTATATGTAAGTGTTATTTTTGTTTTAATAAATAAAAGAGTTTATTGTATAAGTACAAGTCAATGCTTCATTTATGTTTTGTATGATAATACTGGATGTCTTATAAACAAAAGCAAGTGCGTCCTTTTTATGCTAGGAATTAAGAATTTTATTTATAAACAATATGCTTCTAAGTCTACTGAAACTTTCGTTAGCCCTTATTACCTACTACTTCAATTTAATGATCATCAGCCTATAAGTGGCCACTGCTGATCAAAAGCCTCTTCTAACAGGGAGAAAGTTTTAGAAATAATCGTCATGCTTGCTCTATGCTGGTTAGTGATTTTTACACTTGTTATGTTTCCCTTCTGCCGTAGTATATCAGCTATGTAACAAAGTATACGCATATAGCTCAAAAACACTCATATTCATACTTGCTACAAGTAAATAATTATCTACCAAATGTACTAACAGTAAATCTAATAAACGCCCAAACAGACAGAAGAAAACTCAAGAGAAAATTTCCTTAATGCCTAAATTACAAAAGAATATTAAAAAAAAAACAGAGCGATCATCCACATCGCTAAATATATCCCTAGTTGACAGACTGCGACGACGCTAATGAAAAACAGAAGTAAATAAAAAAAATATGAATGCAAATAAATCGTGAATATTTTAATTACAACATCTAAATGTATATTATAATCACACGTTTTTGCTTAAAACTAACATAATGGTTTGTTTATTTAGCTGAAGTTTGTTATAGCAGATTAGTTTAGCAGCTTGCTAGAAGCTAGAAATCACACAAAAGGGTTCTGTAGCTGCAAGGAACATAAAATTACCGATTTATATCGTATTCAAAGAAACTACATTAGTATTAGATCTAGTTGAAATATTATCGGTTAGATTTGGAATTTTCATGATAATTTACTTAATACACGATTGCCTGAAAAAGCAAAGTTTACGCATATTTTTTACGGGGTACTCATTTTTTTTATGTAATAGGTCGGCAAACGAGCAGACTGATTACCTGAGGGTAAGCAATCAGCACCACCCATGGACACCCGCAACGGAGGAGTTACGAGTGCGTTGCCGACCTTTTAGAGATTTGGAGATTTAGGGATTGAGGAGCGATTGGGGGCGGGGAAGGATTGGGCCTCCGGTAACCTCACTTACACGGCGAAACACAACGCTGTCGTTGTTTCACGCCGGTTTTCTGTGAGGCCGTGGTATCACTCCGGCCGACCCATTCGTGCCGAAGCATGGCTCTCCCACACTTATATCATATATTTTAATAGTTATCATACATTTTAATAGTTTGGAGTTCTGGCTATAAGTTCAAAGTTATAGCATATATCATTTATACTAAAAACAAAACAAAATGAGATAGAGTCACTCAGAAAGTAGGGTACTTTCTGAGTGACTCTATCTCTCATAATATTTGAAAAAAGTGACTAAGACATATAGACGGACGAACAGACAAATATACTTAAATTTTTGGCCTTTTGGCTTCAAAATCCTGAAAATCGGTGGCTAACCTAACCGACGTTCTAAAAAAATATGATGTAATAATAACCAAGTTAAAGTATGAATACCAAGGAACTTAATGATAGATTTATAATTTATTTATTATAAAAGCATTTATTTGTACGTCAATTCATTAGAAATTATAATTAATTTTTCATTACAGAGGCAGAGGTAAGCTATGAGCTAAACTACATTTAACATAGTAAAACAAATACATACATATATACCATGGTGCTGACAAAAAGAGACGCAATCAACAAGAGGATCACTAGTACAAGTAAGTATGTTTATTTTCGCATTTTTTTATGGAACGCGCCTCAAAGAGCCAATCGACCACCACAGACGGGGCCCTAAAGGGCTGATGTTCAGCCGGGGCAAGGTAATAATATCTACAAGTATTTCAACTTCTATACCTACGCGCCCGATGTCGGGACGCGTTCGGGACGCAGACAGACGCGGCTGTACCGCAGTGACGAACGGACGGTGTGTTGTCTTTTATTTAGAAATCAGCTCGAGTACATTATTTAATATGACGAATAGGAAATATTGTGCTGTTGTTATGTTTGGTTGCATGAATTCGTCAATAACGCATCCAGACATAAGTTTTTTTTAAATTACCTGGAAACTCTGAAAGGTAAGACTATAAAATAATTTTACTTACTAGTAGCCTAGGTAGGTACATAATGTGTCTTTATGGATCATTATTTCCAGTTATCTCACGAAAACAGATGTTTGAATTTATAAATAATATGAATAAAGTTATTGAGACGAGTGAAATAGGTAGTTATAGGCGGTTCTGGTTCTGAATGAATCATGATACGTTAGGTACCTACCTACTTACGCTTGTGTTAAAACGGTTCATGTATGTTTTGTTAGTTTGTATAATTCAAAGTAGAGAGTGTGGTATTTAATTATTAATAATATTTGTTTATTATCTGCGTTTATGAATAATACTAGAAAATATTTAATAACAACAATAAAACAGCTAGACTCATGTAATATTTTGATGTTTGAGGGTTGTGATTTTAGAACATTCGTAGTCAGCTGTTCAGTTCGGCATTAGTGGCCAAATAAATTTTGTTTGTTTATTTTTAAAGCACTTTATTTGTTTATATAAAAAAAGGATATTTACAATCACAAAACTAAATGGAAACAGAAAGTAGACAAAGGTAATTAAAATACTGGAGACGAGCAGCCCTAACGCATGTTTACGTACCGCGCGGCTGTAGGTATTTATTTCTTTCAAGCGGCCGAGTTACAATACTGTATGATATTTATACTGTGGCCGGGGTGGCGGGGTAAGCGCAATGAGGCACTGCGACCTCGGCTCAGAGCAGGAGAAGGAACAGGGGCGTTTTTAGTCAGTAAGAGTCTGACACTCCCTCCCTCCCGATTTTCCCCTCACAAAAAAAGGAGACAAACGAGCAGACGGCAGCACCAAATGGTGAGCGATCAGCGCCGCCCATGGACACCTATGTCCTTTTAAGAATGCGTACGCACGTTTCTTGAAGGTTTGAAGTCGAATCGGTACGGAAATATCGCTGCCGAAAGATAACGCCCTCGAAATGAAATCGTACCTCTGTTGTTGCGGGTGTCTATGGGCGGCGCTGATTGCTTATCATTAGGTAATCCGTCTGCTCGTTTGCCGTCCTATCACATAAAAATACATACATTAAATTAATAATTCTCACAATATTTTTTTATTTTTACGATATGATTTTTAACCAATAATGCTACCTATTAAACGTAAAAATATTGATAACATATTTTGATTGTCACAAAAAAATATATAATTGTTTCAAATTATATTACAATCAAAGTAATGAATTTGTCTAGTTAAAAAATGTATCTCTTGTGTGTTTCCAAACAAACTTCAAATCTCGAATAACTGCTTAAATAAAGAAGTTTATCTCAACATACCTAATAATTCCTCAACCAATCACAGCTAGTTATGAAAAACAAGGTGTTCTGTTCTGTTTTTAAAAATATTCGTTGAAATAAAACAAATGACTACCTACCTAGAGCTTGTAGAAGTAAATAGCTGGGTACACATTTCAAAATTATTTCAATCGCTCAAAATTCAAAACAATTATGAATATACCTATGAAACTTTGTTAATGATATCCATCTATTATATTCCGTTTTCAAAAATATTTGAATTTTAATTGCTTTTTTCAAACAATGGACATTTTTGTATTTTTTTTAATATCTGATATATACTTATTTATTCTCACTTGTATTGTTTTTAGAACAACATACGTCATACAATCGCAAACAATCGTAGCAAACACGCAAAACTAAACTTGTTTCACAGAATGTGATTATTTTTTACGGAACTAAAAATAAAACAATTGAACATTTTAGAAAAGCTTTTAGCATTTTTACGAACTACAAACTACAATTTTTTACGAACGAAAACTTGGAAAGATTAAAATTTGGAAAGATTTTTCTATTATTTACCAAGTAAAGAACAAAATTTTCATTAATCTTTGACTAGCTTCACCCGCTGCTCGGCTCCATTTGCCTAATCGTAGCGTGATGTTTTATAGCCTATAGCACTCAGAAACATTGTAGCTATATATCAGTGAATGAATTTTGGCAATCAGACCAGCGGTTCCAAAGATTACTCCCTACATGCAAACTTACAAACACACAAATTTTCCTCTTTATAATACTAGTGTAGATTTCGCACCAGAAAATTAATTTTAGTCTGTTAAAGAAGGTGGTGTCTAATAGACCGCATGTCGCTCTAACGTCTGGTCACGGTGCGGGCCGATAAAACCTTGTACCGCAGGAACGGAAAGTTTGCAAAATTTCGTGCCGCAGTGAACGTGTTAAAGGGTTGGGAATTTGGGGATTGAAGACGTGGGTGCAGGATTAGGCCTCCGGTTACCTAACTCATACTGCGAAACACAACTTATCTGTGATTTCACGAGTTTGTGAGTGTGTGTCTGTGAGGCCATGGTGTCACTCGGTGGAACCGGCTCATTTGCACCAAAGCATGGCTCTCTCAAACTTATGTTAAAAATTATGACCAATGAAACAGAACCAGATAGATTAGTTGTATTTACTTTGTTTCAGATAAGATCCTGCTCATAACAGCAACTGGCGTCTTATTCTTGTTGTTTCCCATAGTTATATCAATAGTTGACCCCATACCTATGGCCGCTAATTATGTAAGTATACTTAACTAATTAAGATGACTCGTTTTCTCTTTCTCTAGCTTAAATTCATAGTTATTGGAAATCGGTAGGTAACATTAAATATTCTCCCTTCTCCTTTTATGTATTAATTTTTTAGTCCTTTTTTCTTTCCTTACTTCATAAGATTTTTTTCACGACGTTAATTAACGCATCCGTGCAAAAAATATTATCCAAGGACAATAACTTGATGCAACAACCTTAATGAAGCAACTAAAACCTTTGACAGACAAAAAGTTAGTGCCATAAGTCCTAAATATACCTACAAGGAAAAGTCATCAGAATCTTTTTGTATCAGAAACCCTAATTTTCGAAATTACACGTCAATGTCTTAACATCTTTTTTGCTCCTCAATATCTCCTTTCAATTAAAGGAACTTGTTTTTTGCGACTTTTCATTAAAGTTGTTCAGAGCAATTATTTAAAGGTTTTTTATAGATTCCATACTTTATAATTTATTGCCCCATCATGCATAACATGAACATCGTCTCACTATCTTTCCCCCTTCTATATCCTACATCCCCCTTAAGGCGTTTTACTTAACTATTAAATAAATCTTTTGTACTCTTCTTTCTTACCATGAACAACATGGAAAAAATATTTGACGTTTCAATGGTGAAGCGACTTTTTAGCTTTCGGTTTTTAAGCTATAACCTTTATGATTTGCTTATGATTACATACATCTATTGTTTGTTTCAACTTAAAACCTAACAAACAATTAATTTCCAGTTACTTCGAGTAGCCAATGGCAGCATAGTATATGATCTAATACAGCATGAGATGCCAGCAGCTGAGCTCTCCCTGTACTTGTTCAACATCACCAACGCTGATAGGTTTCTCTCAGGAGAAGACGATAAACTGAAGGTGGAAGAGGTTGGACCATTTGTGTACCAGTAAGTTATACTTGAACCTACGAACACTCTTGAACTACTGAAAAAAGAAATTTTATAGTTTAGCAAATTCCTTTAACTTAAAAGAATTTTGTAGTCACTTCATTTTTTGTACCTATTAAAAAAATAGCTGGCAAATGTTTGTATTTAAAACAGAAAGATGAAAATATTAAGAATAATTTCTACCGTTACAAAAGAACTACACTAAAACAGTATCGTTGTAAAATTGATAAGAAATTTCTCTAGCTCTCTAAATCCAATTTACAATCTAAATAATTGACTCTATACTTTCCGATTTTGGTCACTGCACCCAATATTTAATAGACTTGCAATGGTAGGTATTATAAGTACCCAGTTAAGAATTTGATTATGCGAATGTAAATTAATCACTTGGTTATCACTTGGATATTTAATTTTGTCTTACTCACATTCCTATATTAAAAAAACGAGGAACGTCTATAATAAAAACATATACGTTATGATTATTAATTAATTAGGTAATTACTACTATTACAAATAATTGACTTCGGCCCTAAAATGCTAAGACGCGACGACGCGAAAAAATGGTTACCCAAATTCTATTGCGCCACCTTCCAAGTTATCTTTTCTAATACTCTGAAAAAACATAATGATTATTTGTTTACAATAATTACACTTAAAAGGTATTGATCGAAAGAGTATGCGCCAATGAAAAACTTACTCTTCAATGAGTAACAGGTAGGTAATATGTATAAAGCAAGACGAAAGGGCAATATGCGATGATAAATGCAAGGTACTTCACACTTTATTAATTTGCAGGGAATATCGTTGGTACGTAGATGTGGAGTTGAGTGAGGATGGCAGGGAGTTGGGAATGACTCCGAGAGCGAGAAAGGAGTTCATGCCAGAGGCTTCCATTGGCCACCCCAAGGATATTATACTCACTGTGCCTAATCTACCCTTACTTGTAAGTTTCTTAAATTGAACAAACGTCACATGAAAATAATACTAATAGAAAAAATGTAGGGCAATCCTACTAACCTTACTGGCTGGATGGTATAAAATTGGCAACTGATGCTGCCTCTATCAACGTGAGTCGTAGGTCAAGCGTAATAATGTACCCCGGTCCCGACGTTGAGCAGGAGAAGGAGCATGGTGGTATTTAGTCAATAATAGTCTGACACTCCCTCTCGCCCTGCCCAGGAAAAGAGAAGTCATTTGACAGCTGCCTCTGGGAAAAAATAAACAGGCCTCTAGTTTTATACATCACTAGCTACTCTCGCGCGGTTTCACCCGCTGGTCGGCTCCATTTGATCGTAGTGTAACAAAACAAAACAATGACCGACCAGCAGTTCCAAAGATTACCCCCTACATACAAACTTACAAATTTTACCTCTTTATAATATTAGTATAGATTGGCTTCAATGGGAAGAAATTTTACTGTCGATAATAAAACTGCAAAAAATAAAACAACGAACTCACTATCATATTGGGTCTTGGATTAGATTTTTTCTTTCTAATCCAACTATAAATATCCGTTAGCCAAAACCTATTTTTTTATTCTTCCAGAGTGGAGCATCCATCCTATCCAACTATCCAAGCTTTATCCACACTGCCTTCAACATGGTGGTTGCTCAGTTGGGAGAGAAAGCCTTTATGCAACTGGATGTTGAAAAGTACCTCACAGGATTTGAGAGTCGTGTCATGAAGATCTGCAATAGTTTGGCTCCCGGAATCATTTATTATGATGATTTTGGACTGCTTAACAGGGTAAAGAATGGATTAATATAAGAAACAAACAGAGTTAATAAACTATATAATTAATGACGAGTGTCTTATCTCTCGGATAGTTGATAAAAGAAATGTCGTAGGTCGCACAAAACAGGCTTAAAATGCTATGCCAACTGTGACAAATTGGCACTTTTCAAAATGTTGATATTGTATTCCATAGTAAATAATTAAGTTATGTGTAAAATTCCTTTCAGTTTTACGACAATGAATCAGATTACAGAGTAGTTGTGGGAGCCACCAATGAGGATAGATTCAAGATCAAATCGGTGAAGAAGTTCAGAAAAATTCAGTTGGGGAACATCAAAGATGTTGAAGTAAGGTATATAACTTAGAAGTATTTGATAAGAATTCAATACTAATTAGTGAGTTTATGGGAGCGGTAAGACTAGTCAACAGATCACCTGATGATAAGTGATGGTAAGCGATCGGTGTCGCTTGTGTACACCAGAAAAACCAGAAAATCCGTTACTAGCTTATTAGGGATTTCGTGATTGAAATTTGAGCATTTCTTTACACCCGAAATCACAGAAAGAAATCACTTTTGCTCGATGCTGCAGACATTTGCTGCGTTCCAACTAGGAAATAAAAGAATTAAAACTGAATCTTCTTAGCTTTCCAACTTAGGAACCAAAAAAAATCTACAACCACACACTTCATTAAAATAACACACCAATCCAATCTTGCAGTGAACAAACATTTGAGGAAGACACATATGAAGGTGCACTATACCCACCGATGCTGACTCCAGACATGCCCATCAACTGGTACCGCCTTGGTATCTGCAAGACCTTCAACCTTCAGTACTTGGAGACCAGGGGCATGCATTATGGTGGAGAAGCCTTGATCTACACCATCAGTAATGAGACATTCAGCGCCAGTGTCAACCCCATCAATCGGAAACCCTATCCTAATGGAGTTCAAGACATTTCTGAATGCTATTTTGGTATGCTTTTAGTATACTACTGTTATGTATCCATTTTTTTATTTTCTGAAGTTTTAGCAGTCAATAGGTAGGTATGCTTCGTTCTATGGATTGGTTAATAGAGACTTGATGTCTTGATTTGACATTTCAATCTTTAAGCTATACTTAAATGAATTTTTTTTTTGAGATGTAAAATTTAGTTTTCTTGATAAATGTAAGTCAAAAGTCAAATGTCAAAAATCATTTATTTCAATTAGACCTATCATGCAGTTTTGAACGTCAAACAAAATTTAAAGATATAAAGTGTCAGTTTGTCGGTCAGTCCTTATAGTGAAGCTATTTGCTCGTTTCAAAGTGTAGATTTAAATGGAGAAGAACGATCAAGAAACTCCATGGTTACTCTTTTTAAATCAGTTTCACATAAAGATTCCTTATACAAACAGTTGGTTCAATTATGTATGTGGAAAATAACAATTCTTTTTCTACAAGATTTCATACTTATTTCTTTACAAGATTGCTCATTACGATCGTATTTATTGACATTTTAACATTTTCGAAAAACTTGTATATGTACATAAAAACCGGTATTCATAAAAATGCAGTATGAACGTAATTATTCATGTTCGATTGGGAGTATTTCTGGTGATTCTGCTCAGTATAAAGTGTAAATGTAAAGCAACAATACAAACCTGACCGGCCTTGTCTCGTGATATTGACATTGATATTGAAATTGAAATTCGCTTCTTGTAGACAAAATGATTAAATAATTAAATTATAACAATTTTAAATTTTCCTTAATCGCGCATCCTCTCGGTAGTTAAAGTGTACATAAATGCTAAATCTAAATATTATTAATAAATCAAAATGACAGACGTTCTGTATTTAAAAGATTTAATAATCGGCTACCGTCTCTAACTTGAAATAAATAACAACACCCAACTTTTACATCTTCAGGTAACTTAGTAGAGCAAAATGTGAAGTTTTTTGAACTTAACTGTCATTTTCCACAGGTCTACCATTTGTGATATCCAAATCACATTATCTAGACTGTGACCCCAAGTTGTATGAGCGGATTGAGGGGATCAAACCAAACAGAGAACAACATAGCACTGAGATTATCATCGACAGGGTGAGTTTTAGAGTTTCATATATTTTTTAAGCTACATATTTATTATAAATACTAAATGTGAAATTATATAAAACTAGGTTTTGCTTGCGACTTTGTTCGCGTGAAATAGTATTTTTCCGCAGATTTTTGGTTTAAAAACTATTCTATGTCCTTTCTCGAGTTCAAAACTATGTCCGTACCAAATTTCACACAAGTAGTGGTTCAGTAGTTAAGGCGTGAAGAAAAGACAGACAGACGGAGTTACTTTCGCATTTATAATATTAGTTTGGATTTAGAGTGCAATCAAATGGACATAATTATAATTATGTATCATCATTCAGACCAAGACAGAACCTCACCCGAACGAACGGCGCGCAGTGCACGCGCCTTACAGAGCCATTAGACCATCATAGACGGGCCCCAACAGGGCAAATGTAGAAGTAATTTGAAGACTTTCCCCCCAATAAAAAACGTGGTCTATTCAGGTCGCAAATAGCAGCTAGGATTTTTTCAGACCCTTTTAAAATCTGATAAAGATCTTACCTTGAGTGACGACAACATAGAGAGGAAGCGACCCTGAGACTACAGAAAACAAAAAAAAACTGAAAAGCCTGCAAATAAATAAGAAATAGTACTTAAATGAATATTATTTTTATGAATAGGTTCTCAGAAACACAAGTACAAGATAAAAAACAATAAGCTATGAGGAATTGAGAAATATATTGTGATAAAGATGAAAATAATTTTATAATAGTGGGTATGTGAACAAGTTTGTCGACAGGTACTAGTTTATAGGCAGTCTAGTTTATACTGGAGCTAATTTCAGGTTTTATATACTTTTAAGTGTGGGAGAGCCATGCTCCGACACGAATGGGTCGGCTCGACCGGAGTGATACCACGGCCTCACAGAAGAGCGGCGTGAAACAACCACAGCGTTGTGTTTCGCCGTGTGAGTGAGGTTACCGGAGGCCCAATCCTTCCCCGCCCCCAATCCCTCCTCAATCCCTAAATCTCCAAATCCCTTATCCCTAAAAGGTCGGCAACGCACTCGTAACTCCTCCGTTGCGGGTGTCCATGGGCGGCGCTGATTGCTTACCATCAGGTAATCCGTCTGCTCGTTTGCCGATCTAAAATAAAAAAAAAAAAGATGTTTTTCTTATAATGCATTTTAGATGAAAAAAAAAATCATCAAATATCTTCTACTTTTCAGACTCTTACAGACTAAAACCCATCCCATTTCTTCTCCTGCCCTGTGCCCGTGGTACACTTTTGCGTTTGCACGTACCACCATAGCTGGACGTCGGATCTAGTGGGCCCATCTATGGTTGATGGGTCTTATAGATGCGCACGGAATGCGATACGCTCTCCCATATTAATCGTGATTGTAATGTTAAAAAATACACATTTATCGTGATGTGATAATATTAAGAATTGAGGATCATGACAATCATGTTTAATCAACACTACTTAAAAATTATCTGGTCTTCATACAGAAACTAAGCGTCATGTACAACACGAAAATGTCTATCCAGCTGACGATGATGCTGGATGACCTCAGCTTCAGCTGGCAGAACAGGATGCTGTCCCACGCTGTGGTGCCTGTCGTCAACGTCGTAGTGGTAAGTGGTCAGGCAGAGCCAATAATTGCCAGACACAACATAAACTTAATAGCCATAAAACTCTTTTCAATTTTCGTTTCAATGTAAAAACCTTACAGTATAACATTGACAGTGAAAGAAGTGATTAAGTAAAAAAAAGGCTTGCAACAAACAAGGCATAAATCGTGGAAAAACCTCATTTATAATGAACATTACCGAACATTTTAATTATACAGCCATTGTGACACGTTATGACAAAGTTTTTGATTGTTATTATTACCTACTAAGTCATTCACAAGTAAAAGAGGAAGGCGCATGGCTGAAGTGTCACAACCGGGTCTGTAATTTTGATATTGATGACACGTTCAGCGATAGAAAAGGTAGGGTGTGAGGCAACCACAAGAAAGTACCACGTCCTCGGCCTAGGCAGAAGAAGGAATGGCGGGGTTTTTGTTCAGTAATAGTCTGACACTCAGTCCCGCCCCGCCTGGGATAAGCTTAGAGCAGGAGAATGAACGGGAAAATGAATTAGTCAGTAAGAGTGTGACACTCCCTCTCTTCTCATCCTGGAAGAGAGAAGTCATGGGACAATTTTCCCCGCACAAAAATAGGGTTGGGGCATGAAGTTGTGGACAAAATCTAAATGTAAATAATGTGATACCAACTGAACTGAACTACTTTAAACTTGTTGATTATATTCTCACGAGAGGTTAATGGTAGATAATAATTAGCAGTCAACCATATCACCATACTGACGTCTAACAAGGTCGTAACAAGTCATGGGATTAAAGAATTATAATTGTTTAGATTTAATCACAATGTTTAGGTAGCAACCAGTTACCTACGTCTGATAATTAATAATTCTATTTTTTTATAATACTCGTATACTACACTTTTTTATATACTTATACTTATACTAGAGGACCCTCCCCGAAAACCTCCACATATCAAATTTCAGCGAAATCGTAACGGACTTTTCCGGGATCACATGCTTTTTCAAGCAATCAGCGCCATCTACCTAGCTGATTTCTGATTCTAAACGATCAAGGCGCCACACAAACGCATACAGAAAAAAATCATTTAAATCGGTCAAGCCGTTTAGGAGGAGTTTAATGACACTCACACGTATAGCAAAATTATATATATAAAGATACTGATATGTTGAGTCTAATGCCACTTTTATGCGAAGCGAAAATTGTCGAATGGCGTCTCACGCTTTGGTTGGAGCGGGACTCTTACTGTACTGACTAAATACTGTCCCGTTCCGTTTCCTATTTTGGCTCCGGGCGGGGCGAATAAGATTTGTTGATTTGTTAAAAATTAATGACATAATAATATAAATAAGCGTGATTGGTTCCTTTGATTCCTTGCATCGGCAGTGATACTTACGATGAAATAAAGTTATTAAAACTACTTTTTATTATCTTATTCACAGAACCAGCCAAAGCTAACAGAGTGGGTACAAAGCAAGTTGGTGCTGGTCTACCAGGTGGCTCCTTACATCGTGATGACTATTCAAGCAGTATCAGCCCTGCTAGGTATACTCCTCGTCGTCCATGCAGCACGCCTGCAATACCTCAACTACATATCGAAAAATAGAACTATAGTATTCGAAACAGTTGACGAAAATATCCTTAAATCTGAACTGCCACTTATACCAAAATGAAAAAAAAAAATATGGAAAGGATTTTTTAAGTTTGATTGAATGTAAGACAAGCTACAAAAAATTAAAGTGATTTGCCTGACTAAGGTTAATGACTTAAGTTTAATAACTTTTCGAAAAACGACCATGCGTTTTTTTATAAAAGGATGTAACAAAATACATTAAATAAACAATTATTTCGAATATATTGTAATAAAAATAATCTTATAATTAACTTATTTTAGACTGAATTACCAAGATATGCACTTTTAAAGTCATTCGTGAATAATGGGCATTAAATCTAGAATAATCTATATACCTATTCTGTGATAATTAAATTTAAACGTTAAATTAATTATTTGAATTAATGGATTACGAACATAATAGAGTATTCTCATGGAAATATAACGTTAGTAATACACGGTTGACTGCACTGTTGGTGCGGTGGCTGGGCAACTGGCTGTCGTGCAACGTGTCGCGGGTTCGATTCCCGCACGGAACAACACTTTGTGTGATCCACAAATAGTTGTTTCGGGTCTGAGTGTCATGTGTATGTGACATTATACGTTTGTAAACGCACTCCACAGGAGCAAATCCTAAAGGGGGCAACGTTTTTTTTTTTTTTTTAGAAAAAAGTAACACATTTTGTTCTCTCTTTTAAAAACATTTTAATTTCATGTAGGTACAAAAACTACTCCATTATGACATTCCTTAATATGTCAAACTATGATGACAGACGTCTATGAATGCGACGCCATTTTGTTATTGCAGCTGTCATTTTTTTTACTGTATTGTTTTTATTTCTCTGGTTTTAGGTTTCATGTAATTTTAATTTATTTATGGTTAATGTGACATTTGTACTTAATAACAGAAGATTTAGCAATAATGTAAATACTAGATTTAAGAAAAAACCATTTGAAAATCTATCGTAATGCATTTATTTTGTCTTTCTTTGAAAGAATAAAAATATGACGGCGTTGGCGACTGATTATGGATTTATTTTAATAACAAAAAATATTGTATTGTCTTTACAATTGATTGATTGTTAATCATAACTCAATTTTTAATTTATTGGTAACATTATTGTGATCGGGTAACCCCGAATAGGGTAGTAAGTGTCACTACGAGGAATGGCAGCGGGCATGTGGTTGACAGCTGCGAGCCGAGGTGTGCACGCAAACCTATTGGCTCGAAATCTGATTCCATCTTATTGATTGTGTGATTGTGAATAAAATAGCGAGGAAACCAAATTATACAAGCGTGCCTTTATTGAATTCCGGTCGTTACAACGCCCACGATAGAAAGTGACAACCATGACCGCCAAGAGACTCCTTCTGACGCTCCCACAATATATCAATATTGGTCAGGGGCAGGGGCCATGGTATTTCCATAGTTATCATATCCACCAGTCCATAGCAACCCATACCTATAACCCTATCAATTTTCACCACATTTTGCAATAATCCATGCATCAACCGCTGATTGTCCTTGGGTGCATTTATATAGTGCATACAGGGATAATTGCCGGCTGATGTCCCATAACATTTAGATTAAAACTGTTCAACGGGCCTCTGCGAATTGGCTTCGCCTCCTCGTACGCCTTCCAAAGGTCCGGGACCCTGTGGTCCCGTGAAAGGAAAGAAAAAAATACATATAATAAATTTTTTGATCGCCTTTGTCATCAAAACGAAGTAATATCTAAAACCAATCTGGATCGAGGTGATTTTTTTTAAATATGTAGTTATTAATAAGAATAAAAAAAGACTTCCAAGTTTTTAAAGGCTGGAGAGCTGGCTGCGTTGCCAATTGCCAAGCGGCTGATTTCTTCCTTTTCTTACAAAAAAAAACAAGTAAAATACACATGTCTGCTTATTATTATTATACCCAGTCAGAGGCTAGTTTAAAATAAAAATTTATTCAACATGGTAACTAAGGTAAACATGTAACAATGTAGTTAGTAAAAGACACTGTAATCTACAATCTAGTTAAATTACACATTACTATGACGGTTAGTTAATCCGTCAAATGATCGTCAGCTGACCTCAACAAAGGTTAATTATAATTTAATTGTTAGACGTTGAATTAATTCGCAACTAACACAGTAGTTATAACTTTGTCTTTTAAATAAAAAAATAAAAGGTTCTTGCAATTATAAATTATTATTTTTTTTTTTTTTTTTTAAAAAAACGTTGCCCCACACTAGGATTTTCTCCTGTGTCGTGGGTGCGTTTACAAACATACAAATTCACATACACATGACACCCAGACCCGTAACAACAATTTGTGGATCACACAAAGTGTTGTTCCGTGCGGGAATCGAACCCGCGACACGTCGCACGGCAGCCAGTTGCCCAGCCACCGCGCCAACCGTGCAGTCAAAATGCATATTACGGCAACGAAAATATCTCAAAAGTTACTTAATCCCAAAACAGAAAAAGAAATTAAAAAATTCTCCATGTCATAGTACAAAAATGCAAGTTCGCATATTAATATTATCATGTTCTACCTTTACTCAGATAGTAATCTTCATAAAGCCATCATAATACTCAGAGCCGACGTCCATATTCTTAGATTCAGACTCAGTGTCCGTACTTGTTGAACTATCAGCATCACTATAAGCCAATTCCAGGGAGACACTATCGCAGTCCTTTCCTTTATTTTCCTTTGCCCATTTTTTTTCATCTCGTTCTATCATCTCTCGTATCTTGTACAGTGGTGGGTGGTCATGCTTCACAGGTTCAAAGTATGTCTTCGCTGGCACTATGATGGGCATTCTGGGGTACATAGGGATTGCTATTGGCATCACTGGTGCCGGTACCTGTGCCAAAGGGATCCCTGGTGTTTGATATTGTACGTCACCAAACTCAGGTCCTGGTGATTTCGGTGTTTGAATGTCCGTCTCAGTCTGTATAGGTCTACTTGTACTTGTCTCATTTTTTGTTGTTGGTGCTCCACTCCTTAAAATTTCAACTCCTGGTGCGGCAAGTGCATTGTACTGAATCACTGGCTTTATGTTTGCAGACTTCATAAGCATTGCGTTAAGGCTATTATCTCTAACATACAATGGCTTATCAGTTACTTGGTCGGCATTAGTTTTAGTTATACCAAACTCTTGCGGATGTTTCTCTCGCAAGTGCACTATTATTGATTTCAGATCATCTGGCATACTCGAGGGTAACGATTTCAGAAAACTGTCAAAACTCAAGGTCATTACCCCCGACATTAGTGTTAGTAGAACAATGGTTGCGACGGTCACACACATTTTTCTGAAAAACATAGAAATCGAAATTAAAACGTCAATATCACAAACATTTTCAAACACAGACAAGTGTAGGAAAGCTCGACATTTTGGCACGAATAGGCCAGCTCGGCTGGAGTGACATACGGCGTCACAGAAAATTTACGTGAAACAAAACTTGTGTGAAACACATTCGCCATAACAGTGACATTACCGAAAGCACAAATTTCAGCCCCTCATCCCTAACTCCCCTAACACTTAAATCCCTATCCTTTAAGAGCAGGCAACCCACTTTGATGTTTTCGAATGTTATACTGTCACGCCAAATGCTTACTACCAGGTAATCCACCTGCACGTTTTTGCCCGATCCATAAAAAGAGAAGACGCCGAACAAAGACCCCATCAAAAGAAAAATAAATAAACACAATCATTTCACTACATAGGCACAAAAAGAATTGAATGTTAACAAACCTCTCAGCAGTGTCCATAAGCTTCAAGTCCTAGAATACTGACTGCCGTACAAACTGCATTGAAATTGGAAATTAAAAAGTGTTACATAAACAGCAATTGTTCATTTATAAGAAGAAATAATGGAGGCATTGTTGCGCCAAAATCTCGTAACGTGAAATTACGACGTCTTCTTTTCTTAAGGCTCTATTTTCAGGCAATTAATATGACTGACATGGTCTTGTACCTTAAAAAATACGTCATTATAGATAGTTAGTTTTCCATTCTTCACGTGAACCTTTCATAGGATGCTTCAATATTTTGTCTATAGTTACTTGTCAAAAATCGCTATTATAGGAACTGATTACTTGTTGACCACAGCTGGATGATCAGGCTAATGTTTTGCGATTGGGCATTGTATCTCTAGAATAATGCTCTCAGAAGATATTCTCTCCAGATATATTAGCATCAATTTCTGTTCATCAATCATAATAATAATGCTTGTCTTTTGTCTTCTTATTTTTGGATCGTTCTCGCCCAAAGGTTATGGAGCGAGCTTCTCATGCACGAGGGTGCTGATTTAAAACATGGCAATAACCAATGCGACTTTTTCTAAGTTACGTGTTCTTTTAACTGTATTAAGATATCACTGACAAACGATAAAGAAAATATCATAAAGGAACCTGAAATTATAATTCCTAATTTTAGTTCTGAAATCGCCAATCTGTAACAAATCTGAGACACTTTGATCAGCAGAAGGTATACACGCTGATGATGATGTTGAGGGAGTCGAAGCAAATTCCAATGCACATAATTATAGAGACATACCTACGTATATTTTTTATAGGTAGCTGTTGGACAATTACCTGAAATAAAGACTTCGAGACTCACAAGTGTTAGATTTGTAAGCATTGAGATATTCTTGAGTAAATAATCGAGTACGGTTTTCACACGGGGCAATGCTGATACTAGGTAAATTTCTAAGCTATTTGATGGATTTTTATACGTTATAATATTCCTCTTCAAACACTCTATCTATTAAATAAATCCGAATCAAGATCCGTTGCGTAGTTTGAAAGATTTTAGCATACATAATTTTAGCATAGGGAGAGAAAGCGACTTTGTTTTTAACTATGTAGTTATAAAACACATGTTTATTTTTTTGAAGCACTTCATCTATTTTTTTTTAATCGAGTATACAGCATGTTATGTCTTATTAAACTACCTATTTGATAAGATAAACTACAAATAAACTAGGCGGGAATAATTCGCCTTTCCTTTAATAAAGACAAAGGACTTAATAATTTTCATTCATAATGTTGGTATAATTTTATTGTGTGGATTCTAATCTGTATTATGTCCCTCTGCCTGGTCTTTAGTACTATTATTGTTTTAACTCATTTACAAATATAGCAGTAGATAAACAATAAAACCTAGGACACCCGCAACATTAGAGGAGTTACGAGGACATCGGGCGTTTTCGGGATAAGGGGAAGATCAGCTCACGAAGCAGCGTGCGCGTCACACCAAAAAAATAGCAATAAAATCCGGTCGGGTATCGGATTTGTCATATAAGAACTATAATATGTATGTAACTTAGTAAGACGATATTCTTTAAACTATAATAAGCTTTTGACACAAAATTTGAAAAGTCATAAATGTTGGGGGTTCCTAACTGGTACTTCCAAATAGGTAAAATAAGAGAATATTATTCGCATCTACAGAACCTTTGATGGGCTGAACCTTTCTCGGAGAATCGGACGCTTTTTTTAAAAACATATTTACTGCTTTTTAGATTTCTCTCTTTGTAGCGTCTATAACCAAAAATGTTAACTTACTTTTTTAACTAAGAAAATTAGCATATTGTGATGTAATTTGGATTACTCGACATAAACATGAGCCATGTTTATTTTGTTGTAGATACAAAGATATTATATATATACCTCAAAATTCTAGAATACAACATGATCTTAAACTAAATCTCAAAAAGAAATATATTAAAGAACCAGTACAAGAGTTCTCGTCATAAAACAGAAACAAATATTTTTGTAGGAGATTTTTAATCATCATTTTAATACAAAATATAAATTATTATGATATAAAAACAATAATCAATATAAGCTATTTGGTTATTTGGAATGAGACAGACAGGTTGCTTATCTTCTTGTTCTCCGGCGGCCTGAACACCAGCTCCTTCTTACCGTCACCCAGCGAGTGCTGCTGACTGCCGTCGTGGAGCATCAGCTGGCGCCGTCGGTGGTTACTCCTCGTGCCGGGCTGCGACTGAGACCTGACCACTACTCTAGGCATGTTATTCGAATCTTCCCCTGCTATCAACTGCACATTTTGATATGAATCGTCATCGAGCAATGCGGCCGCCTCATCATTGCTCAGTCGTCGCTTCACTTTGATTTCTCCATCTCTTGACAAATACGTCAGTACGGGTTTGACCAGTCTATCTTTATTCTTGACATCAGCAAAATTTCGTCTATAAATATCATATTTGGGCTTTCTTCGCTTCTTACCTCTTTTGCGTTTACTTCTGTAACGACTCTCATCATCAGTGCAAGAGTCAGAATCTTCACTCGACGCAGACGTACTGACGGTGTGAGTGCACTCGGAAGAATCTTGCCGTTTACTAAACTGGGGCGGGAATGGGACAATAACTACTGGTGGTGGAGCAGGCATTGGTATAGGCATCGGAAACGCGGGGCCCGGGAGAGGCTGAGGAGGTTTTGGATCTTGAGGTTTTGGGTTTTCTTGGCCGTTCTTACATCTGCACTGGAGGTGACAAGGCGAACAGTAGGCGAAGAATGAAGGTGTACATGGATTACACGAGCATGGAGGACAGGGCGGACAGTTCTTGTTACCGTTTTGTGTATTGCCTTTAGGCGCACAATTTGGTGGCTGAAATCCTGGAATTGCTATCTGTACAAAATGTGGCACCGGAACCGGTATCGCGATGGGTATTCCAACGCCTCGGTTACCCTCACCGGTACCACTGGATACAGTGGTGGTTGTGGTGGTAGTAGTAGTAGTAGTCTCAGGGTATGGTATTGGGATGCCTACGGGCACTGCTACAGCGATGGGTGGTGGTGGCGGGCCCGGCACCATCATCTGCCCGTATCCGAACGGCATCGGCATCATCGGAATTTGTGAGTGTACCGCACCCAAGAAGATAACAATTACTACTTTCCATTTTTGTAACGCATCCTGAAACAAACAATTAGCTATTGCATTGTCATCATAATTAGGTACCTATTTGTAACAACTGAGAAATCTATAAAAAATATATCAGTAGATTATAATCTACTCCCTACTCAAAAAAAATCAATCACTCCCTACACTTATGGGGTTCGATTGTTTGAGTATTTTTCTCCAAACTATTTGGTGATAAATTTTAATAGGAGTGCGAAAGCACATTCTGACCAAAAAAAAAACATTTTAATGTTATCGATTTCAATTTATGATTCATTTAACATGGCTGTAATTAGAAGCAGTTTATTTTTCACCGCCAGTACACACATGCACTCTCATTTTGCGAGAGAAGCTATTATAGATTTATTACAAAATATTGACTTACTGAAATCATAACTGCACCGAATCAAAATAGTGCGGTTTCAATGGCGTTCATGACAGCTGCGTACTTTTATACTTTTAGCAAATTTGTTTCATAATCATGGTGCATTGTAGTGCGAACGAATGTAAGTGCACGCTGGGACTCGTGTCGTAACGTTTTATTACCACAGTTTATGGCGTTTACTTTTGCAAAACAATTTCACTTGGAGATTTCCACCTATATATTTCTTGATGAAAACCCTTTAACGATTTATGACATAATACTTTTCCGATGATCGAGGTTTGCTCGGTATTTTTAACACTTTCTGAAAATTTATCCTACCTAGATCGATTTATGAATCCCTGTCCTCTGACAACATTTAATAAAAATCTTTGGAGCTTTTTACTGGATTCAGATTGTAGATGTACCTATATTACTATCTCCCCCCGCGCCCCCCTCCCGCGCTACACATGGATCCAACTTGTGGCTCCAACTATCTCGCTAAAAACAAAAGGGTCACTTTCCCCTCTACTTTTATAATATTTACTTTGTAGAACCTTCCCCAGACAATAATAAATACAACAAAAATTGACAAAAATAATTCAGCCGTTTTTGAGGTATGTGCTTATGGGACAAGCACGCCGCAACCTCCCAAAACCCCTACAAGTCCTGTTAGCAAGGATCTCCAGTATCTCCTGGGCGTCCCAGGGACATAATGACTGTCTTGGACCCTGCAACGCTAGCCTTGCTAGCCTATAGTACTCAAGAAGATTGTAGCTATCTATAACTGAAAAGATTTTGAAAATCCAACCATTCCAAAGATAGATTTAGAAGATTCCAATGAAGTCCTATATACAAACTAACAAATTTTACCTCTTTATAATATTAGTGTATACAAACTTTGATCCATTAAAGGTTATATTTGCGAGGTATTCATATCCCACTGATCTCCCACATATATAGGGATTTTTATCCTTAACCTGTAATTTTATTTTCCGATTAATTTCATTTTACTTACTTAATCGTGTAGCATAAATTAATTAATCGCTACTTAGTAAATTAGCCAACAAATTATATTAGTCCCCATTTTCAGTTTCAGTTCCTTGTTGCTAACAATTAAAAATGTAAACGGTTAAAGCAGTCTTCAAACAAAGGACACCGCAAATTTCCGACATTGGACTGCATGATTGGCGCGGTGGCTGGGCAACAGGCAACGTGTCGCGGGTGCGATTCCCGCACAGAACAACAGTTTGTGTGATCCACAAATTGTTGTTCGGCGGTAGATCAACATCGGCCAGGGTGCAGTTCAAAGTAAGATTGTTTTAATCTTACTTCAGTGTAAGTAAGAGACAGATTAGACAACTTGTATAGCTGTTTCTCTCACGTTACTCTACGTAGGTGTGCACTATTATTATATACCTAAACTAAAAATCATCAAATATGCAACACCAGAGGAGTCATAGGTGCGTTGCCGGGATTTTAAGAAGGAGTACGCTCGTTTCTTGAAAGTTTGAAGGGCGTATCAGTTCGTGAATACTGCCGCTGGAAGATCATTCCAAAGTTTTGCTGTGCGGGGCAGAAAGTTACGCGTGAATCGCACAGTTGTTGACTGCCAACCATCTATGTGATGGGGATGAAAATGTTTGATATGTTAAGAACATAGGCACGTAGGTACATAATACATTTCTCCTAACGACGAGCACACAGAAACATATAATATATATCTTTATACATAGAAATAAAAAAAATTACAAAGGTACATGTTTTATACTTTTGTTTTAAAGCTCTAACTGTCTACATTGTTTTTAACGTCTTAAAATTTTTCGTCTGCTTGCTTAATAGAAAACAACGAATTTATTTTTGTAAATGGTCAGAATTTGGAACATTTAGGTACACCTAAATATAACAAAAAAAGATCTAGTTAATTTTTATTTTCTATCCGGCGACTCTGAGAAAAAACTCCGACACAATGTGTGGTAATAATGAAATAAGTATTCTTATTGTTAAAATTATTGTACCTGTTTAAAAATAACAAAACATGATTACTTTTTTTCTAGTATAAATTCTCATAAAGGTCCTTATTATCAACGGCCGGTCGCAGTTCGCAGATAATCATGGACCTCATTTACTTAAGTGTTTATATGATCTTCTCTTTAAACAGAGTTTAAAAGAGACAGAATTATCAGAAGTAGTCTTCTTCGTCTTTCTTTCCTCTTTTTCCTGACTTCTCTGATCTATCTATGTCTCCACTAAAGGCATGCTTCACCACCTTCATGTGTAGGTACCTGATAAACTTATACGGCAAGTAGTTCATATAAATTGTATATAGAAATATTCCTAGGTACAGAATGGTACTGATTTGTCAATCTAGCTATAACCATTTTAAGAATATTTTGCATTGACGATTAATGTGTCACAGGGTCAAACATAAAATTTGGATTAAGGATACTTTACCCATACGGTAACAAAGTCTTTGAAGGCAAAGTTGCGGGCCGTATATTAATTACAGACAACGAAAAACATAAAATGAAACTTTTTATTTCTATAATTTAATACAAAACGGAAAAGTTATTTATGTACTATAAAAATACAAAATAATGCCTACATAAATACAGTCTACATGTACTAGTTAACTAATGCATTTACTTTCATAGGGCGGTGTTTGTTAACTTTAATCATCCTTTTTGCATTTCCTGTTCCTGTCTCTCCGGATTCATTACTTTTCTCTTCCCTCTTCATCATATTTTCTGGGTTTCTGCGTTTATCTTTAACGTGCTTCTGAGGAGGATTATTTTCAGTTTTAGGTTTCTCAGTTCTTTCTCTCTCTACCAACCGCCTCCCATTCCTTTCCTTCACATCATCTCTCTCTTCTATCAAACTAATTTCACCTTTTGGTTTCAACCAGTCACTTGCTTCACTTTTCGATATTTGTTTTTCAAATATCACATATCCGTCTTTTGTAACGTATTGTAAAATGGGAGTGAGGAGGTCCTTCTTGTTTCTGGATTGTCTCCTCCTCGTTTTGTGCCGTCGCGTTGCTTTTCTTGCCATGTTCCTTCGCGCAGATCGGCGTCCCTTCCAGAACCCATACTCGCTGGAACTCTCTGATGATGTACCATCAGATGTAGATGACCGATCACTAGAACTGTCGTCATCTGTGTCAGAATCTTTCTTTTTATTTTTGTTATGTTTACGTGGCGGTTTCCTTTTGTTTTTATTGACATGTTCCGGGTTTTTAAATGAGTGGTCTTGAGAGTAAAAGGGCATGACTATGACTGGCAGTTTGTGTGGGGCTCCTCCTACTATCGGCATTGGCATAGGCATAGGACCAGGCATTCCAGGCATTCCTGGCATAGGACCAGGCATTCCTGGCATAGGACCAGGCATCGGTGCGCCAGGTGGAGCCATGTGTCCTGGCATGGGCATTCCTGGGAAAGGTGGTATTGGAATTGGAATTGGAGGAGGTTGCTTATCTGGAGGTAGACTTTGAAAGAACGAGTCAGGTATGGGAGGTAAAGTCGGGTATTGTGGTAAATCTGAAAAATCCCCGGGATTTGCTTGTCTAGGCAACCTGCAATGCATTGGGAGGCTCTGAGGGAAATATTGTGGGCTGGTGGGACATAGTGGCAGATCTAGACTGTCCTTAGCGAGCGAAGAAGACACACTAACAAGCAACAGCCAGCTGTGAAGTGTTAGCTTCATATTTGTCTGCAACAATAAGTAAGATTTTAAAAAAAAAAACATTGAAAATTTAACAAAATAAAAAGAAGATGAAACAGTCGTATAGCTTACTTTCGTCCATCGGTTGTAACCGCCGCTTCAAGAACAAATTCAGGGCCACCAATGGCACCCTAGAAGCTGAACTGCGCCTTTTGTAAACTTCCAATGAACAGGTGTGATATAAAAACAATAGAACCGAGAAACTATTGCTTGACAAACCTGGTGCTTGCGTAATGACCTTACAATAGCTACACATCGGCATTTACAACTCTTTTACCGAAAACATGATTACACAACTGCAAATTTTCATTTTCAAATTTTTACGGACCCAGTATATTTACCCTCTCTTAATTTTTTTATATCTAGGAACTGTATTAGATCCGCAATACAAAATGGCTAGCCAAAAATTGTAACACTTATCACTTTTTCCCCGAGTATCAATATAAACAAAACAAACCTTCAAGAAACGCGCGTTCTCCTTCTACTCATTTGCCGTCCTGTCATATAAAATGGAGGCAAATGAGCAGATGGAAGTCCTGATAGTAAGTGATCAGTCCCACCCATGGGCACAGGGTACATCGTAGGAATCACAGGTGCGTTAAGGTTCTTCAGATTTCGGCAGGGAAAGGATTTGGTCTCTGATAACCTCACTCACATTTCGCCATGTGCACACAGTGCTTAGGTTGTTTCACGCCGAATTTCTGTAAAGCCGTGGTATCACTCCAGTGGAGCCATCAATTATTGCTGTGCATAGCCTTCCTACACCAAAAAATGTATCGTACTTACTACGTGTGATCTTTTATTACTGGTTTTAAAATGGAATCGGTTATACTTAATGTAAAAACTTAATGAAGGAGATATTATTTGCGTAATCGTTTGTAAGTGAGGTCATGTCATAAAAAAATGCTCCATTCATTATATCACGTCTTACAGGGCTTATAAAACCTCTTTCTTCAATATAACAGTTCAAAAATCTACAAGGTATTTATGTAATATTGTATACAAGTTTACAGTAGCATTGTGCGGTAACATTATGCCAGCACTATTTATTGCCGAAAATTCCAATATCCCTTACAATCGATCACCAATTCTGCTACCCGGCACAGCTTCAGTATAATGTAGAAGCGTCTCAAACAGATTTCTTACAAGAAAAGCTTCAAGGTATATATTGCGTTACTTTTATTTGTGTTCGCCGTAAATTGATTTATTTTTTTGTATATTATTAGTATCCTTGGTCTAAGTCTGTTGAGTCATTGAATAAATATTTTTGTCTATTCTAGATGTTTGTTGATATGATTAAGCAATGGATCGTCGTTCTGCTGATAGCGTCTACCTGCGCTCAAGTCATGCCGCAAGCATCTTTCCCCTACCCGTACCAACAAGGGCAACCAATGATGCAGATGTTAGGCGTACCCAATGGTCAATCACCCATGCAGATGGCTCATCCTGGCTCTATGCCGATGGCCAATGGCCCTATGCCCCTCATGATGCCCCACATGCCTCGTCTACCCGGCATGCCCTCCGGTCCACCGCCCTTCCCCATGCAGTTCCCTATACAAGGGGGCAGGCTGCCCATGGTAGTAGCACCACACCACTCAAAGAAGGCAGACAGACCTCGGAAAAAGGGTCACAAGAACAAACGAAAGCGCGTCAACATGGACTCCTCTTCCAGTGATGGCTCATGTTCAGAGAGTGCGGAGTTTCGCTCTAAAAACAAATTGAGGTCCAAGAAGAAGAGGAAGCATGAAGTCCTCACCCCTGTTGTCTCCTATGTCACGAAGGATGGCTACGTGGTCTACCAGAAGAAGATCAAGAAGGACAAGGCGAAGGACTGGCTGGAAATGACGAAGGGAGAACATGACAGCGACGAGGATACGATAAGGTTTAAGCCACGTGACCACGACCATTGACATTCTAAGCACTTTTTATATGTTTCTATGATGATATAATTGTATATAGCTGCCTAGTTATAATAATAATAATAATAAGCCCGCAGGGCACCTTGAGGCGAGGTGACGGGAATTAGCGATCCCGCGGGCTACCATCATCCCGATTGCTCCAGGGAGAAGTCACCGTTCCTCATCTCCGGCTTGCCTTCATTGGCTGGCCGGAGTGGACGATGACGAGGAACAGGTCTCCCACCTCTGGCTTGCCTTCATTGGCCGTCCAGAGTGGAGTCGCGAGAGTAGTGATCCTGCTCGGAGGGTGGAAGCTGTTCGTAAGCGGCGAGTGGGCCAGTGATGCAGGATGCTTAGGCAGATGCAGATGATCTGAGTAGAAAGCTGGTGGCAGTTTCTTCACCCTCCAGCCACTCACATTTCCGTTGTCCCTCTGTTGCTATTACTAGCAACCATTCCCGGGGGCCCGGTCGGTGAGTTGGCGAGTCTCCACCTGCCATTTTTACGTGTATTTATTACATTGTTTCGGCAGGTGCCATAGTCCTTCCATAGTTCCCATCATACCAGTCCATAACAATCCACACCCATAGTCTTATCCCTTGTTTCCATTATCCGCAATAGTCCTACACTAACCGGGGACTGTCCTTGGGTGTATTTCCATAGTGCATACAGGGATAGTCGCCGGTTAGTGTCCCATTTCAATTAGATTAAAGTTGTCTAAAGGGCCTCTGCGCAGTTGGCTCCGGCCCCTCGTACGCCTTCCAAATGACCGGGACCCTGTGGTCCCGTGATTGGTAAAGACATACAAATAATAATAATATATTTATTTGCATAAAATGTGGTACAAGAGTTGGTTTAATATATGTTTTAGAGCTAGACACATTCCGCAGTTATAAGACAGCATGCAAATGTTCAAGTAAAATGCACATTATTGTTTTACATCATTACAATACATTGGTACAAAACGTTCGACATCTTACAGTAAAATACAGAAACACAAAAGTAAAATACAGGTAGGTAAATAACAATTACAATGCATTCCTAAAATGGTAAGACTGAGAAGAATACTTTTTTAGGAACTCATCAACCGAATAAAAACATTCTTCTATCAACCAATTTTTAAGAGTTTTGCAGAACTTCTGATAGGGCAGATCGACTATGTTCTGAGGCAGTGAGTTATAAATTAAAGGCGCCATGTACACACAACTTCGTCTACACATCTCAAGTCGCGGAGCAGGCATTTTTAAATACGAATGAGTGACTTTGCGCTTGTTTGTATTGTTTTTATTTTTAAATAATTTAATATTGGACTTTACAAATTTAGCCACTTCATAAATATAAATGTTAGGGACAGTTAATATTTTTTCTGATGTGAAAATAGGTCTACAAGAGTCCGACCATTTGACATTAAAAATTGCGCGAACACATTTCTTCTGCGCAATAAATACCCGTGCTAAATCTGATGTATATCCCCAAACCACAATCCCATATCGTATAACGGAGCATACATAGGCATGGTAAACCATTAACGATGTGTGTCTTGAACAAGAGTCTTTAATTCTTTTTATAGCAAAGAAGATTTATTAATTTTGTTGCATACGGTATCGATATGATCTTTCCATGTAAGATGTTCATCTACTGTAATACCTAAAAACTTAACGTTATGGACTTGTTCGATGGGTGTGTTATTACAAATAATGTCTAGTTGCTTACATTTGCTTTTATAAGATCTGAATTTAATAATTTTTGTTTTGTCTAAATTTATTTTTAATGCATTGATATCAAGCCATTTAGTAATTTCTTTTAGTGTTTGATGTATCTCGGCTATATAATTTTTTTCATCTTTGCAACTTAATATTACAGATGTATCATCAGCAAATAGGACGCATTCATGATTGTGGACTACTTGAGGAAAATCATTTACATAAATTAGAAATAGTAGGGGACCTAGAATACTCCCCTGGGGAACTCCAAAGTAATTGAATCTGGGACTGGAATCATGGCTCTCAAGAAAATTGGTTTTACTATTAAATTTAGTTATTCTTGTTATTTGTGTTCTACCATTTAGGTATGATTTAAACCAATCTAAAGCTATTCCCCTTATGCCATATTTATCTAATTTGTTTATTAGTCTAGTATGATCAACAACATCAAAGGCTTTACTTAAATCTAGAAAGAGAACAATAGGAGATATTTTAATATTTATGTTGTCCATTATTGAATTAATTAGACTAAATGCTGCCAGCTGAGTGGACTTACCTTTTCGAAAACCAAACTGTTCGTTGCTGAGGACATTATTTTTATTTAAAAAATTTAGTGTTCTCTTATAAATAACCTTTTCAAAAATTTTAGAGATAATGGATATCAGTGCGATAGGGCGATAATTATTTTTATCGGTTTTGGAATTCTTTTTATGTAAAGGTTTGATTATTGAAACCTTCATTTTATCTGGGAAACAGCCTTGTTCTAGCGACAGGTTAATGATGTAAGATAAGGGATGTGCAATGGACTGTGCTGTAAGTTTAATAAGATCTGTTGTGATATTGTCATAGCCAGATGATTTCGTATTTTTCAAGGACTTGATTATATGATAAATTTCTAATGGATTAGATGGCTCAAGAAAAATGCTGTGATTACTTGTGTTAATATTAGATATACCATTCTGTTCAGTACTAATATTCTTTTCAACAATATCTATAAAAAAGTTATTAAATATGTTAGCAATGTCTGAACCAGATGTATTTAGGACATTGCTATCGTCAATAAGCCCTTCAATGTAATCCCTTGAGGTTTCATGGCCAGTAGTACGTTTTACCACATCCCATGTAGCTTTGCCTTTATTGTTGGAGTTATTTATATGTTTTTGATTATTCAACGATTGTAAATTATTTATACATTTTTTTAGAACATTAGAGTATTTTTTAAATATTTGTTTGTTTTCATCTGTTCTATTATGATAATACCTGTATCTTAACAACCTTTTTGTTTTAGCACTTAACTTAAGTCCTTTTGAGATCCATTTCAATTTAGAAGTTTTATGTTTAACCTTAACCTTAATATTCGGAAAGCATAGTTTATAAAACAATGTAAATAATTCATGGAAACTATCAAAAGCGTCGTTAGCTTGGTGAAAGTCATAGACTTCGGAAAAGGATAAGTTGCTAATATAGTCTACAAATTTTGTCATGTTTTCTTTGCTGAGATCATGCTTATCAACGAAGTAATAATTTGTTGTACTCTTTTTTTGGTATTTAAATTCTATGACTTGAGCTGTGTTATGATCAGATAAGCAAAGATTATGTGTGTTGCCAACTGCTCTCGGAATATTACTTACTATATTATCGATGCAAGTATTTAGCCTAGTGGGAGTGTGGATATGGCGTTGCATTCCATAGTTTGAGATCAGTTCATCAAAAGTAGTAGAATTTTTATCTTTCTGTAGGAAATTTATATTAAAATCACCGGCTATCACAATTCGGCTTTTTCTGTGTTCCAATTTACGCAGCATGTTATCGAATTTTTCAAAGAAAATATTTAAATTTGAATTTGGGGTCCTATACACACAAAGGACAATTAGACGTAATTGTTTTATCTCTGTGCCACAGACTTCAAAATGTTTATCTAAGCTCATGCCCTTAATTTCCTTAAGTTCAGTACATTGAAATATATTTTTACAAAGTATACAAGTTCCGCCGCGACTTTTATCTGGGCGTGAGTAAATAGCGCACATTCGATAATTATTTAAGATCATATAATTATCGTAACCTTTTTTTATAAAATGTTCACTAAGACACACTACATCAACGTTTGTTCCTATCTCACACATATCTTGAATAGCAAGTTCTAAATCGTGAATTTTATTTAATGCTCCAGCAATGTTTTGGTGGAGAATAGTAAAAGTATTCGTACTGTCATCGTTAGTCACGAAATAAATTATTCTTAGCGGTATCGGTATCGGGAGTTTGCAAGAGAGGCTTGTTCGTTTTATCAATAGCTTTAAAATAGTAAGGGATTGTGCCTTTTTGTGGTTGAATTTTTTGGTTACCTATGTGGGGTGGACTTTGAAGGTTTAAAAGTATTCCATTAAATCTTTTTGACTTTCTTACATTTGGAGCTAGTTTGACAATTCTTTCGTTGAAGGATAGAAATCTTTTGTTATATTGATCTGTATTAACTTTGTGTATTATTTGATTAACAATATTGAAGTTGTTTTGGGCTTCAATGAAAGAAATGTTTTTAAAGTTTTGAGTTAGAAGTTTAAGATTGTAATTTAATTTACCTTCATTTAGAGATGCATTGTAGAGCACGTTTACTATGTATACGTTACACTTGTTTAAAGTTTTAAGCGCCATTGACATTTCCATAAGAAATTTAAACGGGTTAGAGTCATTACTTCCGGCCATGATGACAACACTGTCACTAGTTGTTAATTCTTTAGATATTGAGTAACAACTTGATAGAACTTCTTCAGCGGGGGCGCCAGGTTTTCTCATCCCTGTTATTTTATAATCCTTTAGAATAAATTTAGATTTGTTACGTATTAACAATTCAACGATGCCTTCACCTTGATTATCTGACAACAGAATGATACTTCCGCTTTCTTGCTTGGGTTTTGGGACATTCGTAACTTGTTTCACTGTATCAGATATAGTTTTTGTTTGGCTAAGTGCTATTGTACCCTTCGGTGTAGGGTCAATGCTGGTGATTTTCAATTGCTCATCTACAATGTATGGTTTTTCAAGATTTTTATTTCCGATACAAGAATTCTTAACAGCTACTTTTGGTGTTTGGAAGTTAAGATCCAAGTCCAATTTTCTAACGGAGAGATTCACTCGATTGATATGTTTGTTGTTACTTTTGGGGTGACATGACAAACAAGAATGCTTAGCTGAACTGAGACTTGAAATGTACATGTTTTTAAACTGTTTGGTTCGTTGTTTCTCATCATCAAGTTTCTGCTTAAGCGAGTTATTTTCTTCATTTAAGGTCTGTATTTCTAACTGCGCACTCAATAATTGCTCGTTCAGGTTATCAATCATGTTTTGTACTTCTATAGATTCTTCACTTCTTAGGTGCGTGGATAAATCTATCATACTTTTCGTACTTCGACTGGACTCTAGGCTATCCAGGGATTCTACCGAAAGAGAACGGTAATTGTTTTTTTTTCGAATTGTAATGTTAATATTACTCATGTTTTTTTATTTTGTTTTAAGTTAATATTTATAAGCTCCAAAATTCACAAAAAGTCTTTTTCCTGACCTGGTTGCAAACACGCGACCTCTTGCTTTGCAGTCGATGCGTACAACCACTACGTCAGCAACACACTTACTTTTGTGTTGAAATATAGGTACAGTTTTTACTAGAATGTTTTGATATAACGGGTGGCAATTTTGAATACGATGCAAAAGTTCATTCACCTTCACTTTTTTAATTTTGAATAAAAATAACGTTTACTGTTTTTGTGTTTGGATCAAATATTGTTTTTATTGTTTACTGCTTCACCATATAGTTTTAATTATGATATTTTAGACCACAAGGGTTTATAATGTAATGTAGTTTTATTCACACTATTAAAATTTTGACGTCATTATGAAAGTTTGAATTCGTTAACGTCTATATTTATTATTCACTTTTCTGCAACACTTAACTGTTATATTGTGTCACAATCATTAAACGTTAATTATTTTACTTATTACACTTCAAATGTCTCAGAAATGAACAAAAATAAACTTATTACGATTTTTAAAGATTTTTTAAAATCTGGAGCCAAAATGTGAAGATGTTTACACCAGGGTTGCCAGCCCAAAAAAGTTAATAAATACTTTCTAAATGAAAGCATAATGTAACTACTTATTTCATTATTTTTCATTCATCTCAAACATTTAACACAACTTACCTTCGCAAAAAGAAGAAAACAAGATTTTATCCCAGTTACTATGGAAATAGGGAAATAGCCATAATCAACAGTCGCATTAAAAGTTCAAGTAGCGCCATCTTTTGTGGATAAAGAGAGATATTTCATTCGATCTGGTTATTATAGTTTGCTATTTATTAACCTATCAATGATAACATACTATCGAATGTGTCGTAGTAACATGGTCTGTCGTGATGGCCCGGAGATTAAAAAGCCCGCTTATTAGAAGCGGGCTTTTTAATCTTTAAGCGCGGGTCGAAACCTGACAAGTACCTAATAAGTAATGTGCCTTTTTCTGAGTTATATCTATGTACTTTCTATGATTATTTAGACACCATTGACATACGGTGAAGGAAAATGTAGCGGCACTATCACGTCGCTACATTACTTAGATACGATAGAGATAAGACATACATGTTAATTGTTGCACGTTTGTTAGGATAGCTAAATCTGAAAATCTCACGCATCTTCTTAGTATATAAGCACCAGCAATTAAAGTAATAAACAGACCTTAACCATCTACAGTCTCATTATTTACCTTGCCACGAAGTCTGGCAAATTGGTGACCCGACGAAGAACAATCAACATGACTCATTCACCCTGCAAATCAAGCAGCAGCCAACAAGAAGCCTTGGAGATATCAGCCGGAACCGCCATTTTATCCCGTATTCCGGAATTTTGGAGGGACCAACCCAGATTATGGTTTAAGCAACTAGAGGCCATAGTAGCACCACAGAAGCAAGGAGACGATTACAAGTACTATACGGTCATTGCAAAACTGCCAAAAGAAGAAATAATACAGGTTAGTGACCTCATTACTTGCCCACCGCCAATAGAAAAGTACAAGGCTATCAAAGAACGCCTAATCAGTTGCTATGAGGAATCAGACCAACGTCAGCTCCAAAAATTATTGTCTGAAATGGATCTCGGCGACCAGAAACCATCACATCTTCTGCGCAAGATGCGGACCCTGAGTAACGGAAATATCAGCGACGAAACCATCAAACTTCTATGGTTGAGGCTTCTGCCACCATCAGTGACTTCGGTTCTAGCAGTCACAGAAGACATAGATGTGAACAAGATGAGCCAGATCGCGGACAAGATATTAATAAATTCAACACGTACAGAGGTGTCAGCTGTAAACGGAAACAAATCTGGCGACGATACAATGTCATGCATACTAGCACAGTTAGCAGAAATGCAATTGGAACTAAATGCAATTCAGCAAGGTCAAAAAAACTATCGACGCAGCACTCAAAGTTATTCCAATCGTCGGCATTTCCTACCACAGTCGAGTTCAAGAGAAAGAAGGCACTTTTGTTTTTACCATGGAAGATTTAAAAAATATGCACAAAAGTGTGTTCAACCTTGTGATTGGAAACAGGATCTCAACTCAAGAAAACAGGGAAACTAATTGAAGCACGGACAACGGCGGAACTCTGTGCTATTCACCCGTCCAACCGCCTCACTATTACCGACCGAAAAAGTGGTATGAGATTTTTGATTGACACGGGAGCAAATATTTCAGTTATTAGCAAGCCACAGAGACATTCACTAATACAAGATGAACAATGTATACTTTATGCCGCCAATGGTACAAAAATTAAGACATATGGTGAAAAAACACTCTCTTTAAACTTCGGGCTACGAAGAAACTTTGTATGGAACTTTGTCATCGCCGATGTAACACAACCGATTATTGGAGCAGATTTTTTAGAGCATTATAAGCTATTAGTCGATATAGCTGGTCGAAAACTCATAGATAGGGTAACTGAGCTGACAACGCCCGCAACCCTGATCAAATCGACGCAGCAAACAATCAGCACAAATGCAGTGGATAGTTCATCGACTGCCGCCGCCGTCACAACAAAGGCAGCAGTTTTTATTTCCTTCGAATTAGCAACAATGACATTACATTACGCATAGGATGTAATTTATCAGCAAGGTTAAGTTATTATATAATTAGGTACATACTAATTTTTTTCAATTTATATGTTAATTATTTTTAAAAGGGGGGAGTATATGTAGCGGCACTATCACGTCGCTACATTACTTAGATACGATAGAGATAAGACATACATGTTAATTGTTGCACGTTTGTTAGGATAGCTAAATCTGAAAATCTCACGCATCTTCTTAGTATATAAGCACCAGCAATTAAAGTAATAAACAGACCTTAACCATCTACAGTCTCATTATTTACCTTGCCACGAAGTCTGGCAAAGAAAACATCGTGGAGAAACCTGGACTTATCATTTTAATTATGAGTTTGAAATCGCCAATCCGCCTTGAGCAAGCGTGGTAATTACCTAATGCTCAAACCTTCTCCGTATGGAACATTTCTTTGTTCTTCAGTGGGCACTTATAGACTGATGAGGATTAAGTATACTATTGCATCTATTACTTTCATCTAGCCCTCACCTACCACCAACACAGTACATCCTAGATACATCTGTATCGGCGAGCAAGGGTAACTCGCCGCCTGACCAGAAGGGCATATGTTTAGCCAGGGTTGCTGGGCAAGCGCAATCAGGAACCTCGGCCTTGGCCTAGAGCAGGAGAAGGAACTGGGGGGGAAGCCTGGGGAGCAGAAGTAATTTGATGATTTTACCCTTACAAAAAAAAAAGACCGCGGGATCTTATTGCGCTCGCCACGCATCATGTTTTTAAAACTTATAAGGTTGATTAAAGCCTGATTTGAAATTTCACTCATGCACTAATTTGAGAAAACAATCAGATGTCATTGTTTTTTCTTATCTGAATCCAAATCGACTGCACGTTGGGTATACAATATAAATATGTATATTAGGATGCCTCGGTAGATAGATAGTTACTACCTACTGTCGAAGTCACGATTTTTTTTTTTTTAATTTTGCCCTACACTAGGATTTTCTCCTGTGTCGTGGGTGCGTTTACAAACATACAATTTCACATGCACATCACACCCAGACCCGGAACAACAATCTGTGGATCACACAAAGAGTTGTTCCGTGCGGGAATCGAACCCGCGACACGTTGCGCGGCAGCCAGTTGCCCAGCCACCGCGCCAACCGTGCAGTCAAAGCTGCGAGTTAGATGTAAATATTGTTAAGTAGAAGCAAAAGTTTTCCAATTCCTTGATGCTAAGTGATCAGCGCCGTCCATAGACTCCAACAAAATCAGGGGAGGTGTAAGTTTCTTGTCGGCCACTTTAAGAGGGGTGGGGGGGGTGTACGTCTCTATCAACACCTATGAAACAGGTGTATGTTATATATTACCTACGTCACTTTACTACTATGCCAATTCGTAGCATGCCATTGTTACACCTTCCAACAGAGCTACACAAAAACAATGAAAGCGTTTTATATAAAGAGACATGTAACTCGAAATCATGTTCAAATAAGCACCCTAAGTAACGAGCTGAAGGTGCACTTACTGGTTGAAGATCAAACAATACTACGATGGCAAATACCAAGGTAGGTACTAGACAATTAATAACAACAACAATATATATGAGTCACCCTCTTTCGTCAGCTGATAGACTTGGACCTTTCTATTTTCCTTGACTGAGTAATGTACCAAAGCCCATCAAGAACATATCCCTTTATTGCAGTTACAGTAATTATAATTATGGTGATCCGTTAACTATATTTTCTCCAAATGTTTTCTCAAAATAGCTTCACTAAGAGGACTGACCGACAGACTGACAAGTGTCTGTAAGGGTTTAATTGGAATAAATGATTTTTGACTTTGACTCCGAAGAAACAATCTAATTATTTAAATAACAAAGGCAATTTACTCAACTGAAAATTATAGCTAACAATTTTTTTTTCAGGCGCTTATCAAGCTTATGATTTTCTTACCAATGATCATTATGTCAAGCCTGAGACTTTATAAGAACTGTGAGCGATGTGATATTCCTGCTGAAATCATCAAGACTCAATCGAAGCCTTACTGGCCGTGGATGCCAGGGTACAAGAGTGATCAGCCAGGGTATGTGTGGCCGCTGTACTTCACTGGATGACACGATTTTTTTAATTTTTACGCTTTGACTTATACGCATTGTACAAAAGACATAAATAATAGGTAATACGCTTCCTCATTCATTTTTAGCAGACTTCAAAAAAAGGAGGCTCATTACTATTTTGTATTTGTCTTTGTACATTTGTTACCTTTATTTTGTATTAATAATAGTAGTAAATTTTCAGAACCTAAGCAGCTAAGTACTTTTAATATTATTTTTATTAAAAATATTTTGTATTGATGTGTTTTTGTTTTTATTTTTTTGGGTTCATTGAATTTCCTCCACATACCCATGCAATACTATTACATAAGTACCTAAGTCTACCTAGTCTAAAACCACTCTTTTCTTCCACCATCTGCGGGGCTACTTAAACACAAAATAAAAATCTATAGACGCCACCATTATGGCTAGGTAACTACTCTGAAACCAATACCTAATAGGGGAGGATAAGTGTATTTCTTAAAGCACAGGTAATAAAATTAAATAGAAATCATGTTTAACAACAACTACAAAAAATAGGTAGGCAGGTAGTAGTTAGGTAAAAAAATAATTCTGAATTACATAATTTAACAGCTGCAGTTCACGTGCAGCAGTTAAAAGCACCTATGTGCAACCGTTCAGTTCAGAACAATACACAATTCATTGCATAATAACAATCGATTAGGTTAGGTACCTACATAAAAACCGGCATTCCTAACCATGAAAAGTTTATAGGTAATTAATCTATACTAATTTATAATGCTGAAGAGTTTGTTTGTTTGAACGCTCTAATATCAGGAACTGCTGGTTCGAATTGAAAAATTATTTTTATGAATTTACTACAATTTACTAAACTATCTTACATAAACTAAGTAAAATGTCTTCTGGTTCCTCTTTTTCGTGGTGTGATTATAAACTAAAATGGTAGTTAGTTACGGTAGGTAGGTACCTACTTAGGTGTTCAAGAAAAATTAGAAAAGGCCTTCCTTTTCTTTTTTATTATTTTTTCGCGTGCTTCTGGATCTTTTGCCTTAAAAAATGTTTAAGAACTCATTTTGAAGAGCCCTGTCGAGTAAATGTAAATAAACAAATTCAATTTGTCAATAATCAAAAAGATTCCGCGTTTGTGTTCGATAACAAGGTAGGTTTTAGAAGCGGATATTCTTCAAAGAATTGTAAATTCGCTTATTATTTAATATTTTTTTCATATTTGACTTATTTACTAAAAGAAGAGCTCATAAGTACTCAGTGCTCAAACAAAATTTAATAAGTAACATAAAATCGTAAAAAATACAAAATTATATCAATTTAATAAAAATATGTATATGATTATATAACTGTCTTGAATCAATTAATTAACCGATAATGACAACGAAGTTCCAAACCTGTTTTAATGATAATTGGGGTGCCAAAACTCAAATATTATTTTGTGCAAAGTTCTGCAATAATAAAATATTATTAAAACAGATTGTAAATTATGTTTTACAATTTCTTAACAAAATAAAACGTTTTATTAATTATCTGTAACAAAATTTGACAAGATACTTCAACAATTTATTGAAATGTGACATTGGCGTTCTGTCAGTCGCGTGATAAGACGAGGTGAAGACGTGAGTGTGCGGTCGGTTCACGGGATTTTTATTGTAATACCGGTTATATTTCACCAAAATTGATGTCCAAACATGAAATTTACTTTAAACTTCCTATCTAGGCAGTGTTGTGCAAATTCTGTGGGTGATTAATGGGTGTTTTGTGATTTTGTGTAGTGACTATGTGTTGATAAAGTAGGAATCTTGTTTTGGTGTTATAATAATATAGTTCCGTAATTTTACGAAAATGGAATCTTCAACGGACAAGGATTGGAAGAAGAATTTGGGTTTCCCAATAAACTATAGCTCTGCGAGTTCAGACGATGATTTGTGAGTGTTAATTTAATTATCAAGTTATAGAGATATGCGTCTTAGTTGCTCCCGCCTCGCTGCGAACATAACATGTTGTTATCAAAAAAAAATTCACAAATCTTTTAACAAACTTCCTAGTCTGCTTATCAGCTGAAGATCAGCACAATGAATTATTAGAATACCTTTATCATTATCAGTTAAACATAGTTCTAATGAGTTCCTAAGTTTATGAAACATAAATATTAATGTACTTATCGAACAGGCGCGGAATATCTGTTACGATTGGCTGTATGAGTGCTTCTTTTATCTACATACCTATCTATTTATATAATATATATCTAGATACTGATTAGTTTACAACAGTTCTTTTCAAAATTTATTTGAAGGTAATATTGTATCTTAAAGAATTTATTAAATTATTAGATAGCTCAAGTACATTGATGGTTGTAGGTACTCAAAATCCAGCACCCCAAACAATAACTCGAGTTTAGCCAAGTCTGTATATTATTATAAATTGGCTACATTATAAAATACTTATGCCTACACACATGTCTGCATAATGATTCACTGTTCTACCAATAAAGGGCAAGTCAAGGATTGATTTGGTTGTAGCCAATTGAATTAATATGTTTTTGTTTCCTATTATTTCTTCGCCTATAGTTCTTGGATCACTTACTAGTCATAATTCCATAGAAAAACCATTTTTCTTTTGATTTCAATTATACCAATATCCTGAATTAATCCTTAACACTAAAGTGATATGACTTATAGTTGAATGACATTGCTTATAGGTATTGACTGTTTTGATTACTTTTCAAATTTTTAAGTGAAATCTTATGATAAAAGAGTTTTTAATCAGTAGATTTGTATGATAAGCTTTTGAAACAATAAGTAGGTGCTCCAATATATATATATATATATATATATATATATATAAACATTGCCATTTTATGTGACTATACAAATGTTTTAAGCACCCTATGTACGGTACCATATGAGGATTTTGATCTGACTTCATTTAATCCTTGTTATAATTTATTTTAGTTTCTTTTTTGCTAATCCTATGCTATTGATTTTCAGTAACTTATTATATAGATATGATCATTACATTTTGTTATCTATAGCCATAAATTTAATAGTAATTCAAACTATCCAAGCTAATCCAAACTTCCAAACTATTATTATAAATGCAAAAGTAACTGTGTCTGTCTGTCTATTTTTTTTCATGCCTAAACTGCTAACCTATTTGTAAGAAATTTGGTACAGGCATGGTTTGGAACCTGAGAAAGGACATAGGATATTTTATAAACTGTCAGTAAAGGATAGTTTATAAGTCTGCAGGAAGTCACTATTCCACACGAATAAGGTTGTGGGCAACAACTAGCTTTAATAATATTTAATGTTTAGATAAGTTTTTCAATTAGGTATTTAACCCACTTTCTTATTGAATTACTGTAGGCTTTGTTTGTAGACTGCATCATCTTTATTTGTAATTAAGACATCCATTCTATTGGTTGTGAAGTAAGTTGCCAACTTAAAAATATATGTTGGATATTTATATTATAAACATTCATAAGAATAAAGAATAAAATACAAAAAACAAATAACCTACTTGCAAACAGTCACCTGGTGAAAGCCTGGCAAATAAATTTGTATCATAAAATAATTAAAAAAAATATTTATTTTATATTGATAAATTCTAATCCAAACTCAAGTAACAACATTCTTAGTTAAGTGTACTTAATAATTATTGTCAAATTGTTATATTCAAATCGAATGAACACAATAATCCTATAAGTGTAACTAAAAATCTCATTGAACTTGATAATAGATATAAAACCCATAAAGGCAGTCAATTAGAAATGAGGCAACACTTGTAATTTATTACCTGATTGCTATTAAATGGAGCCACTTAACATTGCACAGCTATTTCATGGACACTGATGCCAGCTAAAGCGCAGATTAAGTTATCACTCCATCCAATCATTGTTATCATATTACGGTTTAGTGTCGTATGTGATTCACTCATAACTCGTAACGTTTATATATTAAATGAGAAAACAAACAAATGCATCTAGATGTGTGCCGCGTTTTAATCACTAGACAAAAAAGTACGGTTTTTGTGCTTCGGTTATCCTACATTAGGCTTTTCTCCTTTTTCCTTGGAGCAAACATACATATCACTCTCTAAGAAACTGAAATCTAAAAGTGGATCCCATAGAGTTATTATTATAATTGTTGGATTGTTGTTTATAATGGTGTAAGTATAAATATTTTATTATTTGTTAGCACTTTGTTTTATTTTGCACATTTAGGTATTATTATTTTTTATTTTTTTGCTTTAGTCATGTCTTTACCTAAGTTTTAAATATAGAAACAACAAATAAGTAACATTGTGTTTCTGAGGTTGGTATTCCAGTATCTATTTAATTGGCTAGTCATAAGACAAATCTGTTTGGTAAAAAAACTAAATATTTTATTAATCGATCAGGATAAATCCATTCAATGTATTAACTATTTTTGTGTTTTTGAATCTAATATATTACTACTGTAACAGTGAAAAAGTTGCAATATTAAGTTTAATAAATAATTTTAATATTAAGTTGAAAATACTAATCTAGGTAATACTTACAGAATACTATTTTATAGCTTAGTACCTACTTAGTTTGGTATATTATACAGGGTGTAAGGGACAGCCTTCCGCAAACTGATAGGGTGGATTCAGTATATCGTCTTAAGTTGACCGGTACATGAAATTATTTCAGGAACGTTATGGGAATCCAATTAAACCGATTTGTTTCATTACCTTATACGCAATGTATCGCTACCACCGCAAACGCACGCAGCGAACGGCAGCGCTTTTAGTATTATTACTTTACACTATGGGCAGCGCCGCGACCTTACGTTCAGACGTTTTAATAACAATAAATTATTATTTAAAGGATAGCCGCATTACTTATAAAAGACAATGTAATAATCGCGCTCGCGCCACGTTTTAATAACAATAAATTATTATTTAAAAGATAGCTGCATTACTTACAAAAAAAAAATCTAACAATCATAACATGGTAACTGATAAATGATAAAAAAAGAAAAATGCGTAGGTACCTTAGAATCGCTCCGGTTTCCGGCTCTGGAAAGCATTTGTGATGCGGTCTCGCATTTCGTACTCACTTGCAAACGCACTCACAAACACTTTTTCTTTTACGTAACCCCACAAAAAGGGGTCCAAATGGGTTAGGTCTGGGGATCGTGCTGGCCACGGTTGCGGTCCAAACCTACCTAAACTACGTTTAAATAGGAAAGCACTGGTAAGTGGTAGCGTCTCCTTACGTTAGCGAACCAATTCCAAAATCCACGTAGGTATTGGTCTTCCGGCGCCTTTTTGTCTGGGAACAATGGGCTGGTTTTCTAGCAAGCGCTGATAGTCACCAGTAATTATCCTGGAGTCTGATGGATGCCGACGGTCAGGATACCTACACTACTACAACACATTATCATCTCCCCATAATCACGCGCGCTAAACGTACCTAGGTAGTAATTTCGCACAATTTCTACAAGAAAACTTCACTACACTTCACACACAACATAACTAATAAAACTTAACAATACTACTTATAACAAAACTTTTAAGCCGAATGCGCGAGCGATCCGTGCCGACCGACACACGCTCGCGGTACACAAACAATAACATCGCAGCAAGGCACAATGGCGACTGCATGTGATGAGACACACACAAACATAAATCTGTTGTTGTGTTGCCAATTACACGAAAATTACAAAATTTCGGGGTAAAAAATAAAAAAATATGCATGGTCGTAATTTATCATTCTGTTATTTTTTGTAGAGAAATGAATTGATTAAATCAATTTCATTATAATTTCATTGTTTAGTTAATTTAGAATAATAAAAGTGCAGTGTGATAGAAAGCTGTGCTTCCATTCCAGGGAGATTGTGTTTAATTTCTGGCTCGACTATCAATTCATGGCAATTGTGAAGCCATGTTAATCTGTAAGTAGTTTAAAAACTAGCCAGTAATCGCTTAAAAAGAACAATCAATTAATAAATTAGGTAGTATTTGTAAATGCTTTAAAATTAAAACTAGACTAATCTTTATTTATTTCTTATTCAATTTATGTGCGCGACAAGATTTTCATTAATTGATTAATGAAAATCTCATCAACGTAATTATGAATGCAAAGGAGTTCTCAAGTTTTAGATAAATTTCGCTAGTTCTAACATTTTCGTTTACTACCTGAGGTAACAAAAGTTAAAAATTGGCAACACTGGTTCAATCGGGCAAACATTGTGCAAAGAATCGGGGAGACGGGGAGACGCGGAGGCGGAGCGATAGAAAGGGACGCAGCTATTCTGTACGTTGGACGGGATCGTAGGTATTATACCTACGGCGCGCGGCGCGGCGATCGGCGCGGTGGGGCGCCGAGCCGCTGCGCCGTGACCGCGGTGCGGTGAGTTCAAACGACTCGCGCTAGGTAGAAATTGAACAGCTGATTTCATGCGTAGTTCTTTAGAGAATTCACACAACCATTGCGTATTTTTTTGTTTTAGCTGTGTTATTTACATTAATGTTATTCTTCATACATAGAATGTAATTATACATTGAAATAGAGGTGTAGGAACAGAAAAAACGAAAAAAAAATTGAAAATTTTCCTGAAAGAATTTTCACTAGAATATGATTCAGAATAAGGAGCTGAATGCACCCTGTTAATTTGTGGAGGGCTGTCCCTTACACCCTGTATATTAATTTTATTCTGAAAAATATTTATGCAAGTAACTAAGTACTTACTGGTCAGACAGCCTTGAGCTTTATTAAAGTACTTCATAAGTGTATACAAATATTATGATCCAAAATACTTAGATAAACTAATGTGCTTTCCATGCTTTTTTATTTCCCGCGTCGCTATCAGTAGTAATCATAATATAACAGAGTAATGAAAAGCCTCACTAGGCTCGGTAAAACCTTATTTATTAGACATCATAAATTACTTTACACACA